AGGAGGCATCAACTTAAGGGAAATACAATCTCAGGTTCCACTACATCAATTTAAAGGGACAACGCTAAGGTTCAAATCATACTCTGTGAAAATCTGCAAGAAAATCAGTGCACTTGTTGAAGGTGGAGTAGGTCATCCTTGCTCACTGCAAGCAATCTTCCATTGTTGCATATTTCCCATACCCAATACAGAGTGAAGATCTCTCTTGTTGAGGATCGTCACTCTTGAGGATGGAGAACTCCAGAGGCAGCAGAACGTGCCTGCCAAGTGGCCTGTTTTTCCCTCACTTGTTAAGTGTGAGCAAACAAATAAAATAAGCAATACCTGAACTCAGTCTACTAGTCCTCCAGGTTATTTTGGTGGCTTGATCCGCATAGGTCAACTTTACTTCCCTCACTTCCCAATAAAGGGTGACAGTCTCCAGCAGATGACGGGGGGGGAACAGTGTGGGTCGCTGATGCCTTGACACTTCATACCTACTTAGAACAGATCGCAAGGCACACAACATCCTAGTTTCGTGATGCTTGTGTTGTGCATGCTAGGAGGGAGTGAGACGTTTGCACGCTTTTGACATTATGACAGTTGAAAGCTGCCGTCCCTAATTGTATTTCAAAAAGAGAAATGATTTCTGAATGAGCCTGTACGGGAAAGCTTCACTTTCCTTTTGCAGGAACCGATAATGCTACATATTTTCATCTCAAAGATCCAGAGCCATTTTTAAATGCTGCTTTTTCCAGAAATAAATTTTGGTAGTTTTCTCAGTGGGACACATCAGGAGTAACCGTATCAGGTTTGTTTGTCTCCAAAACAAACCATGTTCTGTCCAAAGGGCTCGGAAAAATATATGTTCAAGAAAGAACATACAGGCTTTTGCTACACCATCACCTAAACTTCACAGAAGACTGGGAAAATGGTGTTGGCTAATGTTCAAATTTTTGGAATCTCTTAAACAAAAAGAAAAGAAAAGAAAAGAGCAAATAAATAAGACTTATCCTGTAAATACTGGCTTGCTCTCCACAGTTGCCCAGGCCTGGAAGGAATGTATTCTGGGGACTGAGTATACAAACATAGCAGCTTCCATATTGTTCAGCATATGCAGATTACAAAAGTTGTCATTTTACATTTACAAGCCTAAGCAGGCAGGTTTAAGTTAAATAAGAGGAAATATTTCTTCACACACTTACTGCTTACCTGTGGAATTCCTCAAAACTTGATATTGTGGCTGTAAAACGTTCATGGGATTTTTATGGATATAAAGTCCAACAAAGGATATTTTAAAAAAAGAAACCCACCTTGCCTAACTGTTGACATCTTGTGAGGTAGCCATAGACCTTTGAGGTATTCACTCTAGATTCAATTTATAGTTAAAGGACAAAAGAGTGATTTATCCTTCCTATTTTTGTCGTCTTCTTTAGCACAAGGTAAATCATAGCCAGGACTTGCCTGACTATGAAGAGATCCTGAGCTGAATAGCTCAGATTTTATTGTTTTCATTGCAGGCAGCTGTGTTTAGTCAGATGAATAAGTCTGGTCCGGGAGGTATTTAAGATGCAGACTGCTGGAGGCAGAGAGGGAACAGTGGAGTGATATGCTTCACCTGCCTCTGCTGCCTTCCCTAAGTGCTTGCTATTGGCAGGATGCTTTGATGTGACCCACTAAAATCACTTTTATGTTGTTACATAACAACATCAGCGGTCTTCAAAAAATCTTTACCAAGGAAAGAGGATGCTAAGACAGAAAGCAAGGACAGACAGGAAAGAATAGCCTCAGCAGTGGAGGAAAGACTAGGAGGTACCTGCCTTCTGCACTAATTAGCAATGCCTTACCTGAGAAAATCACAGTCAGGTTTGGATTGTTTAGAGAAAAAAGTTCCTCTGTTGAATGCAGGGCTGTATTAAGGCTGTCATGATTTCCTAACAGGATCCATATTTTTACTGTATCTCCATTCGCTATGTATTGAACACAGAGCTTGTGCCTTTAACTGTTGAGTCAGTCTCTAACAACTGAACAGCAGAGCACAATGCAAATAGAAGTGCAAGCATGATCCTTCACGGCCTTCTGATTTTGTTTCTTTTGCCTCAAGGACATTTGCAATTTCCTGAATTCAGTAGACCAGACAGTCTGGTTTTAGTTTCCCAGAAGATATCAGTGATATGTGCAGTTAAAGAATACTTTGATATATACTGGAAAAAATCAAGAAACCGGGTGGGAATTGCATGGAATTCATATATTTTTGGTTATCATTACTCCCAATGGAGTGAAGGAATTTGAGTCATAGTATTTTTGAAAAGCTAATATTTATATAGACGACACAAAATCAATCAAAATCAATCCTCAGGCACAGGAGCTCTGAACTTAAAAACGCTGAAGAATAAAGTTCCAATAAACACATTCACATGAATGCTCTAAAACAATAAATGCAATTCAAGTTTTTTTAGCTGTGAGAAAATACAAAAAGACACAAGCAGCTGGTAAAGACAATATAAATGTGCAACAAATTGGCAGCTTTTCTTTTCTTCATTTTTTTTTAATTAAGGTGGCTATTTTAGAAATAAGCTGATGTGCTATGGATTGTTTATGGTACCTCACTCTTTATGGTTCCCTTAGCATTATAGTAATATTAATAGCAATCATCTTCACAACCTAAATATATTCTCTCACATATAGTCTCAAGATGCTGCTTTACTGTGAATTGTTCCATTCAGAAAGTCATTGCTAGTACATAAACCCGAGCAGAGCACCAGGTTAATGCACCTGTGCTGCCTCCAGACTTGACCTAGCTAGACATGTAAATTGGATTAGCAAATTTAAGAGTCATGGGTTCAAGCAAGATGTTGCTCAAACCTACAGATGCTCCAGTGAAGGAACCAGGTAGGGGAAATTTTCCGCAACTAGGATGTCCTGGACACTGTGTGGCATCTCCAATGGCAAAAGGCATTTATATGACAGCACTTCGGTAGTTCTCTCAGTTGCATCAAGTGGACAGAGGTCTCCTTAGTGTAAAAACAGGGCATTCTCCGTGAATGGGAATGTTATTCTTGTGTCACAGTCACAAAGACTTGCACATAGGAAGGGATGGTTAGGTGACTGGAAGGATCTGAAAGCATTTTTGACACATCAAAGCTGTGAACTGAAAGAGGTCTTGGTGTTATCCAAACCTATTTGGGTCATCCTGTGGGCCAACAGTGAAAAAATTCAAATCTCTAGATTTTCCTAGACAGGGAACCTGAGCTATCTTTGGCTACATATGGTCATTTTAGAAAGCGTTTTCTTTTCATTTCACTCTCTCTAAGAAAATTCATAATTATTTAAAACCATGATTTCACTCCATGAGTTAACTCAATGGAACTGCAGAAGTGAGAAAAGTTGCCAGTGCTCTTGAGAAACTCCAGGATCAGGCAATTTGCTCAGAAGAAATAGCGTAGATGTGACAGCAAACTGTGTAATCCTTTGGCATTTTCATTTCTACAAAGACCTGACCAAATATAGAATTTCAGTACCAGTAGTTGTTCTTTCATCTTTTATGTTTCTGCATTCTACCTGTAAAGGCCTTATTCAGAGTTCTGCAAAATGAATTAGAGTATTTCCATTCCAGCTGAATCGTTCATGGACAGTCTTTCGCATCAACATAGGCTCTAAAGATGAAATAGATTCTGATTCATCTGTTGTGTAACTGTTATCTCTAAAGTAATATGAGAGAGGAGTTTAATCCACTAGGTTTACCAGATTGCCTACTTCGTACCAAATTACACTTGTTATTAATTCCATTAGGACTAACATTTTTAAAAAGTCAGCTCAAAAAAAAAAAAAAAAGAAAAGACAAGAAAGAAAGGAAGATCCATTAATATGTAGGGATTACAGAAAGGAAGCTTACTTTACAATGGAAACAACATTACTGGATTTTATCCCTATTCCTACCAAGCAGTGATTCAACAGGTCAAACCAGGGCCAAGGCTTGCAAATCATCGTGTTAAAAATATAGGTGCTTGGGAAGGAGCTCTAATTATCTGGTTTTTTTCAGAATTGATTTACATCATTACTGGTCCCCACAACACTGGCTTGGCAGTCAAATAAATTATTGTCTCCAGGAAGGCCTTACGTTGTTACTTGATTGTGTTTTTGTCTGCCTGTCTAAATGGCACCCAAACTACTGTAATTTCAAAGCGCTTCAGACTAAGTGAAAGGGTAAAGCGATTAGAAACTTATTCAAACCAAAGCACAATTGTACAGTCTGCAGCATAGTTTTGACACTATGCTT